ACTGACGTTCACCGGCATAACTCTTGCGCACAGTTTGCGCGTTGCTTGACCCCTCCCCCATAATATTAATTGTTTATAGGCCACATATTAGGCACTTCTTTTTTTTTATTTTTTAGGTTTTTAATGTTTATTTTTCAATGTTAATGAAAGTGACACCAAAAAACAGGAACATCATTAGGAAATCCTTGGGGGGGCTGTGCCGGGGCTAAGCAAGTTTCTGATGGGGCTATAGCCCTGTCAAGCCCCGCCCTAGCGCCGCCACTGATGGTCAGTCCATTGAATTGGCAAATGAAGCATGCATTGTTAATGGCTCACAATATCAAAATGGCAAGATATCGGCAGATTAATTTGCCTGGACAATCTGCCTTACGTGTTAAGCACCATACATTACATATGAATTCATGTTTGGTTGTATTAATCACTTATTATTGTGTCACATGTTAGCTTGAACACTGTAATGTAAAGTCTGGTTTCTTTACACAAACACAGCGTCGCCATATTCATATTTGATTTGAAAATACACTGTGCAGTGTAAATTTGGCTGCTCATGCAGACACACACTTACAAGACATCTGCACCGTGTGGTTTTGCTCCAGGCTACTGGAGTCTGCTCAGTTCGCACTAAAAGTAGCTGTACGCAGGTTACATTGTTGGCAGTGCTGTATATTTAATAGGGATCAGTGAACCTCTGCTCCTCAGTGCTTTGAAGATGAGGTCCTGCACCTGTAGAATGTTTTATTCACCCGCTCTATCCCATCACTCTCTCCGTCACTACTACTACTCCATCTCAGCCTCTCACGATGGCGCTGCCTTTCTCCTCCTTGTGCGAAATTAGAAACATGTGTAGACTTCAGAGGAGCGAAGAAACAGCTAAGAAGTGATGGGAGGAAAGAGGGATCGAGAGAAGAGGGAGGAACAGCAGGGCGCATCCTTAAATGTACAGAAATCAATATCTTCTAAGCCATGAATGTCAGTTTGAGTTAGGCTTAAGAAAATGCAAGTCCAGCACAAAGATCACCTTGAAATTGTCTGCTTAGGGTAAAAAAAATCTATAAAGCAGAAATCAATATCTTCTAAGCCATGAATGTCAGTTTGAGTTAGGCTTAAGAAAATGCACAAAGATCACCTTGAAATTGTCTGCTTAGGGTAAAAAAAATCTATAAAACAAAAATTGTGTTTGTTCTTAGACACTGCAGTTTAATGTAATTCCGGAATGTATATTTAATTAAGGGGGCGTAGATGAAAAATGGTTTCTTGAG